GTTCCGTTCCCGGCGCCAGGGGGGTGTTGGGTTGTCACTCGGGATGACAGCAGGGACGGGCCCTCAAGGGTGGTGGCAGTGCCTGGCTGTCCCTGGCTGTTCCGGCGGGGCCGTGCTCACGGCCCGAAGCGGTGCTAGTTGACAGATATATATGTAGTCTGTTCCCCTGTGAAGAAAGACGCTCCGTTGTTTTTGGCACAGGCTGTGCCTGGTCTAAGAAACGCGGAGTTTGGAGTTCACAGTGAAAAGTACTGGACAGGACTGGTCAGAAGGCAGTGAGATTGCCCGCAGAAGAATGAGCATCATTCACATGTTATGTCAGTTTTGTAGAGTCCACGTGTGTTCAGACCTCAACATCAGCTCCTGATTTCTGTATTTTAGTTTATTCTATATGGCACAGCTAGTTGCACGCTGATAACTCATCAATGGACTTGGAAGCTAAAGATGAAGAAGAAGAGAGTCTGCAGACAGCTTTCAAAAAGCTGAGAGTGGATGCAGCAGGGTAAGTGAGCAACAAAAAGAACCATGTAATTTGTCGTTTTCTCATTAAATATTTGTGTTTGTTTTCTTTTATTCTGAATCTCAAAACAAATGTCACAGATTGGTGAAAGGTTCCTTACTCTCCACGAGGAGACAACCTCATCACTTCACATCAAATGGAGTCATTAGAAACTGTCTAATAGGCAAAGCAGTACTTTATTATTGACTAATTTTGACACAGTGCAACTGAAATTACACAATGACTGTATGAAAACATGAAATGACTCGCCCAGAGCAGTGACCCCACTCTTAACTGTTGTGGTAGCTGTCATTGCCTTGTGTGATACAGAACTTGTTTGTCCGTTCATGCAAATGCTGGTGTCTTCAACCACATTATCAGCCTTTACTGTAGTGCATTAAGATGTTCCTGGAAAGCATCTGAAGGACAGCACCATCACTTCGTAGTGTGCTGGAGGGCCCAGTCTCATGGGAAATTGTCAGGTTAAATATGAGCACTGTTCATTTCTAATTTGGGGGGATTTTGTAGAGTAAAATGTCTGCAGACATTCTTATACTAAAAACTTATTCCATAATACACTGGATATACTGATAATATGTAGTGTAAGTGGCTTCCTTAAAAGGAGGACTTAATAAAATTATGCAGTGTGACACTTGTGAGGTAGTTCACTTCTGTCTGTGAGCTCCCAAAAGACTTCAGGAGAAAGCTTTGGACTGATAATTAATGTTACCATGTGAATTCATCTCCATAGCTATCAGTGCTGCAAACTCACGACCTTCTCTGCATGTTGAAGTATATTTTACTTTGCTACTTGTTTCCTCTAATTCAGGAGGTCTTATGTTAAATGTGGAAAAAAAATAGCTGTTCTCTAACAAGGAGCTATGCTTATTAAGTGTACCACTGTTGATGTATTGCCAGTGACAGACTATGTGGAATTCTGGTTGATTCCTGATGGTATCTTCTTAGGCATAAAAAGATCTTGTTTTGCAGGCATGCGTTTTGAACAGCTCAAGTCTTGTGACTAAACCCTTAAGATCAGCTTTGGGCAGAGTACTTGGGCTCTTCTGCCAGAATTTCAGCCCCATTTCTTACGATTTCCTATCCCATGTTCCAAATCACACATACAGCCATTGTGTAGATAGATTCACATGCTGAGGCATTTGTTTGTTGTCTGAGCCTCCAGGACCAGATGTTTTTTTCATTCCATGTTTATCTGGGAAATTTAATGAGAAATAAATCAGTAATCTGTCCTTGACTGTTGTACCTCATCCACTGCTCCACTGACTCCTCCTCAGCCTGCTGCTGTGGGTTCCTGACTTTGCATTTTAGATGGGTACGAGTCTACCTTTAACAGCTATTGTCTGACAAGAACATTTGGAACCCAAGTTACATTCCTTTAATGTGTCATTTTGGTACATATAGGGCATGACATCAGCCTCTGGGCATTTTGGCCTCCTTTCATTTCATCTCTTCTATCTTTAGACACTCAACTGAGGTCAGACTAGTAAGAGTGGTTAGATAAATCCCTGTAATATCCTGTTTCTAACCACTGACTGTAGAGGAGGCCAAGGCTGCAAACTTGGCTAAACATCTACGGCGAACAGGCTGAATCTAGAACTCTGAAGCAGTGTGCTCAGGCCTTACTGTAACGTGGCATTTTCCTTCTTACTCAGATGTATTGCAGCTCTGTCTGTGGGCGATGGGACGATTCTCAGAACACCGATAAGAGCAGCCATGGATGGAGCCAAGCAACAGACCATCTGCTCGAAGGAAGCATGGCATGGGTAAAACATACCCTTCACTGCACCCTGCATGTGTTTCTGGTTTGAGGCATTTAACACTTGCATACTGTTTCCAGTGAAAGTTGTTGTTAATTAGTTGCTTTAACGTATCTTTTCTCTCCTTTCTATTACAAAACTTTACCTGAACTGTTTGATATGATGTTTTTTAAGGGACTTTCATCAAAGACTTTAAAAACAATATTGCCTCTTCCTAGAGAGGGTACCTAAAACTTTATTTACTACTGATTCCCTCAGAAGTCCTTTTCTTCAAGTCTTATACATTTTCAACCCCTTCTCACCTCTTCCTTGGGTTGTTTTATTTCTGTATTGAAGTATCTGGATATTCAAAGCAATTCTGTCAGCAGCTCCAAGTAATATCCAGGTTCTGCACTTCAGTTCCAGTTGGGATGACAGAGTGTCATTTGCTTAACACAGAAGATGTGGGGGAAGTACCTTTGAAATAGGGCTGTTTGTATGTGTCTGTCCTTTGGAGGAGCCCCAGTTTCTTCAGGCTCCTCCACTGTTCCTGTCAAGAGATTGTAAGTGACGGGTCACCTGATTCTTCTAAGCAGAAAAAAAACCAAACTCCTTCTAAAACGTTTTTAGGCACATTTAGCTTAGTGAGCTCTGGTGTAGAGTCTGGAGTTACCTACTTGCTCGCCTGTTGTAACCCTGCAGGTGTGTGAGAAAGCCTTCCAGAGGAACGGCAAGAGTCCCACGTCGCAGACGCTCCAAGTCTCCTGTCCTGCATCCTCCCAAGTTTACGTATTGCAATATGAAAGCCAACAGCCAGCTGAAACACAAAACCCAGGCAGACACATCAAAGGGTAATATCAGTTCAGACATTTTCGTTACAGCAGAACACGGTACGAAGGACAGGCACGATTCTCACTTTGAGGCCAGTCATGACAGAACTGAACCTTTGGAAGCTTTCACCACTGAAGAGCCTTTGGAGAAGTCAAGAGAGAATTGCCCTGCTCTCTCCTCATCCTTTGAAACTAGCTTGCATTCTAGCCAAACCTCAGATTTCCAGACCTTATCCATGCTCAGCAACAGCAAGCAGTGCCCTTGTACGGACAAGAAATGCCAGTGCAAACAGTGGCGAACCATGGAGGTGTACTCCTTCTCCGGCTTACGGAGCGTCCTGTCAGAGTGCGAAAAGGCGGTCCTAGGAGTCCATGCCCAGTCGCTTCAAAATAGATCCCCTTGTGGGACAGCCTCTTCAGGTTCTCCTAGATCTTGTTCTGAACAAGCTCGAGCCTTTGTGGATGACGTGACTATTGAAGATCTTTCGGGATACATGGAGTACTACCTGTATATTCCCAAGAAAATGTCTCACATGGCAGAAATGATGTACACCTGACTGAAAACAACAGAGAATCCTGAATCGGAATTTGTGATAATGGTTGCGTTAAATGCCTTGTCAGTGCCACGTTTTCACTGTTGTGTGTTTGATCAAATGTTTTGCCTCATACAGTTTAGTTTTGTAATAAAATGAAAAATAGGATATAGTTTCTGAGCTTAGTTCTAAAAAGAATGCACTGAAGTCTCCGAATACCTTAACAAAAGCACTGTAGATCAAATGAACTCCCTTTGGTTTTTGGTTTGTGCTGTGGATATTCAACCTCTGTATGCTGTTTCACTATTGTTTTGGAAAAAAAAAAAAAAAGGCTTTTAGGTTTTGTTCTGAAATTTTGCAGTGTTTGGAAGGTTCATTCTTAATGTGTCCCAGTACTTAGAGAAATGTTTCGTAGCTACAGCTCTATCCTCATCCTGCTCTAGAGAGAAGAAGGAGAAGGCATTCAGTATTTTGGATAGGATGGATCTCGTTTCCTTGAACACTGGCTCTTTTTTAGTTGGATCAAATTGTGAGTGCTTCCTCCTCACGAATTTGTTGTGAGGTACAGAATGTGCGAGCGTGTGCTTGGACCCTTTCAGAATCTAACTAGATCACTCTTAAGCAGTTCTATTTTTCTGCAGATAAGTGAAGCTCTTAGAAGCAAAAATATATTTTGTTATTTGTGCTTTACAGATGGAATAATTTAGGGAGGAGCGAAGCCAGCTAACAGGTTTTTTTGGGCCATGCTGTCTCAGAAGTGGAGATGGTGGAGCCATCTATACAGCTTGTTTCTGAGTATGTTTGATACACAAAGCAGTTGGAAATAGCGTAAGCAGGAAGTGTGTATCGTATGGGCTTTGTGGTGTGGAGCTATAACGTTCCTTCTGGTTGAAAATATTGAAATAAAAAATGTTGCTGAGACTTGCATTAATAAATGTTTGTCAAAACCCAGCAAATTAAAGACTTGATGATTTGACTTACACTCATCTCCCCTCAAGACCCTTTTTTTAAAAAAACAACACTGAAGTCTCCTTTCAATGTTAGCTGTACACATATGCTAAACAACAATGTTTGAGTAAATACTGTGATTTTTTACTTGCACACATAAAAATTAGTGGTCAGCCAGCCAACGAGTCACAACCAGTTGTATAAAAATAGATTATAGCAGATACAGTTGGCCTTGTATTGCGTGCTAGAGAAGTCTCAGACATTCTAGATGATAATCGTTGTCTGTAGATTTTATTCTAATCACCCCTAAAATTTACACTGTGAATCCAGGAAGCTCAGATTTAAAGTTCAAACAAATCCAAATAACATAAGAATACAACTAAAACTGTTACTTTGCTTCTCAGTGTCATGCAGTTATTTAGCATGTGATATTGGCTCAAACTCTCAAATTAAATTTAATCACTTTCTAAATTTTCTTGGGTTAGTACTTTACTGTCCCCTTCACCTTCCTCTTCCAGCCCTATCCTGCATACCCCCACACAGTTTGTTTTTTTCCTCACTTTCCTGTCTTTCTCCCTACAGTAAATCTGGTATAACATGTACTTTGCTTTTAAATGTAAATATTTAGTACTAGTTATCTTTGCTGTTGTTTTTCAAAGGCTATTTCTGCTTCAGCAGAGGATGCCTGCTTGTGTTCTGCTCATGTTTTGGTTTTGTGCCCTGTTTAAAATTGTTGGAAGGTATTGTTGCTAGATGCAATATTTCTCCCTTTTCGACTCTTTGACAATTACCCTGCCTCTCAGTGAGTGGTGACCTGGAGGCCGTGTGTCTGAAGCTGGGGCACAGGTCTCTAACATGCACAAATACCATTATCTACAACCAGTATTGGTTGTCCCCACTCCCCTCTGCAGCTGGAGCCCTGCAAAGTGGCACAGCGAGGCTCTTTTCCCCAGAAATGCGGTGTGGCAGCCTGGCTCAAGGTCACTTCGGTGCAGTTGTTTCCGCACAGTCCTGCTTCTCTTTAATACAGCCTGCACAAACCCCTGGAAGCATCTAGACCTTCAAGCTGGTGCTACATAAAACTGGTAGCGAGGGATGATGCTGGAAGGGCACAAGGCCATTGTCAGCTGTGCAGCAGACCTGCTGCGTCCAGGGAGAGTAGGGGAGCTGGGGAAATGGTGGAGGTTAAACTAGTCCAAGATAGCCCCTGAAGTTTAGGGCTGAGCAGTGAATCTAGATTGCCAGGAGGCCAGATGGGAGGGAAGAGTCTTGAGAGCAGGTTCTCCAGGCACATTCTGTAGTGTCCTGTGCAGGGCAGGAGTAACTAGTAGTGAGGGGAGCAGGAAAGGGGGAAAGAGACAATAACTCAGCGGTTTTGCGTTCTGCCTGAACTACTGTTCATGTTAGCGTCTAAGCATGTCTAGTGCTGCTGGTGGCAAAGGAAGGGCAGATATTTTGGGTTCCTGACTGCAACTATCAGGCTTGTAGCAAACATATTGAAACATCGCTGCTGACATTTGCATTGCTCAAACCTCTCCTCTGAGAGAGGTCCCAAACCCAAACTCACTGTTTCCTTCAAAGCCTTCCCAGTTCAGCTCACCCACTTTGCTCCCCCGACCACTCAGTGACTCCTGCTTGCTGCCTGCCTGAGACCTCCAGCTTCACTAGCGAACAGCATCTTCTCTGGGACTGCTTGCACAGCAGATCCAGGGTGGGTTTTTTTCAGTGGTTTCCCTTCACCCCCAGCACTTCACAAGTTACTTGCCTGTTTAGTTTCAGGACTAGCTCAACCAAAGCAGGTTGCAGAAGGCACCCTGGATCAATGAAATTTGTTCCTCGCCTCATGAAGCCAAACTGAGTCCTAGCCAAACTTTACATTGGCAGATGCTGAATCAGGCCACTGGGGGAAAAAAAAAAAAAAAAAAAAATCAAAGGACTGGATTCTACAGCCCGATTTCCACCCCCTCCTTGTAAACCAGGGGAAGTCCCGTGACTGACTCCAGCCGCCTGCTCTCTCCCCTCTGTAACGTTTGCACCAGCTCCAAGACAAGACACCCTGGATTGTGTATTCCCGAAGCGCCAGCACCTGCAATCTTGTCCTGACAGCAGCTTCTGCCAGGGCTCTGCTGATGCCACCGGCTGTGGCCACACAGCATCCCACGGGGCAGCCCAGCATCCACCCTTTCCACAGGCAGGGAGGCTGTGGACAAGAGCTGGGGATGATCTCAAGGTCACACAAGGTCAGGTCACCCCTAAAGGGGGCTGGCGCCCATCCTGTCTCTCAAGCCTTGCTTGCTTTAGCAAGTCAAAACTCAGCGAAATAAATCAGTGCCTCCAGAGGCACCGCGTACCTGCAGGACCCCGAGGCATGCAGAGACTTGGCATTTTTTTTATTCCCAACAGCGCAGCATTCATTCATCACACCATGTGCCACTAGATGGGGCTTTTTGGACAGGGATCCGCTTCTGCTTGCTCAAGCTGCTCCTTTCCTCACCCCAAAGCTTTCCCTTGCCAGTGGAAGGAGCCCCCAAAGCTGGGTCCTGGGCAGCGAGGGCAGTGGGCAGGCGGGAGGGAGGCTGCAGCGCAGGGGCAGTACGGCACTGGGTGATGGGGCAGCTCTTTGATCAAAGCCCCATTTTCTCTGAGTTTGCGGCAGTGGAGGCCACTGTCTGGCTTTGTAGTCCCCAAGCAGAGGTCAAGCAAAAGCCTTTCCCTGTGGGTGTTCCCAAGGCTGGTGCAGGGTCTCCAGCAGCACTTGGGAAGCTCGGGGCTGGGCTGGGAGGGTGGGTTTGGGTGCTGCTGCCTACAGGGGAGAAGACAGGGGGAGGCAGGGCAGGGCAGGGCAGGGCAAGGCATAGCACTTGCCAGCCTCAGCCCTCTGCCATTGCCCTCCAGCATGCCCTTGGAGCAGGACATCACAACACCAAAGGATTTTCACCTCCCAGTCCCCAGAAAATTGTTTTTTTTCACTCTGCTCATGGGGCCAGGTGCTGGTTTGACTCCACTCCCTCCCAGTGCTCATAGGTGCCTCAGTTTCCCCACTTGAACCAGCTGTCCCAAACCCTTGCCTGTTTCCAACCTCACCTGCTCCAGCGTGGGCAGAGATGGGAGCAACACATGGAGGAGCCACGTTTACACCCAGAGCCCTCTCGCAGCCCCAAGACCAAACCCGCAGAGCCCCCTCCTCCATCCTCTCCACAACTCGCCCCTGTGACCCCCATGACCAGACTGGTTTTACCCCCCACCAGCACTGGCAGCTAGTCCCATGCATGGGAAATTATCTCCAGGCTGACAGATTGTCAGAGATGGACTGTGACAAAGCCACAATGTCCAGGTCACTGTGTCTAGAAAGGTGTCAGCTACCCACAGACATTTGCCTGCAGACCTCGGGGTGATGCTCGCAGTGCCTGGTGAGCAGCAGCTCCAGAAGCCCCAGCGCTCTCTGAGCAGGAAACCCGGCGGGTTTGCAATTGCGACGCACCTTGCTAATTCTGGAAATGACCCCCAACCGTGCCTGCTGGGGTGCAGAGGGGCTCTCTTGTTTGGTCCAGCTTCCTGGGGCTCTCGTACATGGCGAGGGCTCCTGGGCTCTATCCTTGCACAGGCTGTGTGACACCCCTTAGGCTGTAATTAACCCGTGCTCTCCAAAAATCACCGAATACCTTCAAAAAGCCATTGCTGCTTCTTTCCATGAAGGCTGCAAGGCAGGCAAGACATCTGCTAGATATTTTAAAACCAGTATCCATCAATGCAGCTATTTATTACGTATCTGCCATATCTAAACCAGTCAAAAAAAATCTTAATCTCTGCTGTAAAATATCCCTAAGGAGCCGCAGGGGTTGGAGCTGCCCCGGATTGCTGAGCTGGCAGGCAGGCAGCAGGAGCCTCCGCCGCTGCCTCTCCTATTGAAGCGATGCCCGCATGTTTCTGTGGGAGCCCCGCCACGAGTGGCTTCCCCCCCCCCCACCCGCCGCTGCCAGCAACCTCTCCTGTGACCCCCAGCACCCACCGCCCCACACTGCCCACCCCAGCTGGGGAGATGGAGCTGCCCCGGGAGTGATGCTGCTGGCAGGAGCCCATGTGATGCTGGGCTAGCGCCGCTCGCTCCCTTGTCCCTCTCCCCGCTCGCTCGCAGGCTGTCATGGCGACTCCCAATAATGTTACTCCCACCAACTGCAGCTGGTGGCCCATCTCGGCGCTGGAGAACGACACAGGGAAATCCACAGAGGGGGAGGAAAACCAGGACCCGACAGACCCTGCTCTCAAATCCCAGGACAGGCTGGTTTTGTACCACTGGACCCAGTCCTTCAGCTCACAAAAGGTAAGAAAAAAATAATTGCTCAGCTGTGTTCCCGGGGAAGAATCACCTCCAGTACCCAGAGCATCCCCATCCTCGGGAGGAAGGATGCACTTGCAGGGGGCTCGTCCCCAGGGCTAGCGAGGACAACAGCGGGTGGCCGGGCAGCTCTTTTGTACCTGCGGTTCTGCATTTGAACAGCATCTGCCTGGGGAGAGGACGGGGATGGGGGGGGCTCAGCCAAATCCTGCTTTTGCTTTGGGATCGCAGCTTGCGCCAGGAGCCGCCCTGGCTTTGTGCTCACTCGCAGCCCCACTCCGGCGTGGCTGGGAGCACAGACAAAGGCTGGGCTGGGCCCTGGGACCACCCTGCTGCCGGCAGATGAGGGGGG